CGGTTAAACCGATGTTCGGTTAAAAGGTGTCCGGATAAGAGGGAGTCTACTGTACCACAATAGCCTTATTTCACACAAAAACATGCTCATATGTTGGTATCCCTGTTTTCTTTTTTTATTGCCAATCACATGATATGCATTGTTGTATTTATCCATTACACACATTACACATTACATTTACACATTTACACATTACACACATCTAGTGGGAATTTATTGTGAACTAGTGGTTGTCCAGTGGTCTAAAACTTGACCAAAAATATGTAATGTACACGCATTGACTATTGGATACTGAATTAGACATCCTATCTATATGGACCAGCTATCGTAATTTATTTTATTATAAAACTTTGTAATTGTGTGAGCCATACAGAATGTGTGTCTAAAATTCTAATTTCTACCTTATTTTTTGTTGCTGACAAAGTGGATGGGTCATAACAGTTGCTATATAGCTCATAATAAGTCATTCCAAAAGATGACTTGGTAAAAAACATTGTTTATTCGACAGAAATTAGTAATTTAGATCAGCGCAATCTGGTTGGTGGCTCACATCAACAAAGAAAAATTTAATTTAAAAACTGGTGACAACTTTAACATGGGGATGGAATGACTATAGTAGTAGTAAGTCAAAGGTACAGGCTTCTCCATTTTCACCCCAACCTGTAAAACATGTGATTCGAATTTCTTCTATTTGTTTTGATTTTATGTTTTATCTTGTTGTTATTTCACCACCAGCATGGCAACCCATAATTGACCGATGTTAATATTTTAAAATTTAAAATTTATTTTGTGTGCTTATTTTTGAGCCTAGTTTAATTTATAAAGGGATTCTGCACACCTACAGAAAAATATCTTTCTAACAGTATGCATAGATTTTCCCTACAATGCACACAAGCTGAGAAAAAAGGTTGAGAAACATGCTTGCCTATTTAAATATATAGAAGACAGAAGATAATACCATTGACTATACACCTCTACTTACTAAAGCAAATGATAAGACTTAACATCAAATGGATTTTTAAAAATCTCAGAGAGTTATTTTAGAGTTTATTTTACATTAAAATAAGTAAATCATTTGTTTTATGCCAAGAAAGGTTTGAAATTGAGTTTCAAAGTGTGATGCCAATACCAAACAAATCAACTATTCATAGAATTGTCAAACATGGAAACCAGATCTGTAGAGAAGCAATAAACGTATAGACCTACAATACATACTCTATTTGAACGGAAACTCATGTTGAGTATTAATTATAATTAACTAGCTGAGTACCCGTCCTTCGTACAGGGTTGGTATACAATGCTTATTCTAGTTAAATACTCGTGCTTTGCATTTGCAGTAAAACAGGACACGTTTTGAGAAAATTTGGTTTACTATAATCTACGGTATACTATAGTATATAGAACATCTACCATAGCCATAATGTTCTACCACTGCACCTAAACAATAGAAAGAAGTAAAGTTCTCACTCTCAGGTTTTTGTTGCTGCTTGGTTCAAATTAGCTGTTGTCATAAATGTATAAAGAACTAATGGTGCTGCACCCTGTTGGTAAACCGCATAACCTTTTAATGTTATTGAATATCATAGAAACAAATTATGTAGTTGAAACAGCTGGCAAAATTATTTAATTTCTTTTAAATATGAATGCTCATAAGGTTAACATGGGAAACTCTAGAGCTACTGGGGTCCCCAACAGCACAATGGGCTTGCTGGGAACTTGTTCCAAGTCCATTGGCCCAAGTCCCCAAGCCTGGTTTAGACTCAGGGACCAAAGTCTGTAGGCTTGGTTTTGACTTGTTTTAGAGACCGAAGTTGGCAGTTGTTCAACTTGTTATGGGTTTGGCTCCCCAAGTCCAACCCAAGTCCCAACCCCAAACCTACAGTGAACTCATGGGCACAAACCCACTCTAAGCTTGGAATGATGGATACAAAACGGGTCTGGTGGATTGAGCAGGCTCATTATGGACTTGTTCGGGATTTGGGGACTCAAGCCCAATTTTAGTAGGCTCATATTGGACTTGGCTTAGACTCATATTGGAATTGGTTTTAGCACATTTTAGACTTGGGCAAACAAGCTCACACTGATAAATTAAACAGGCTCATTATGGACTTGGAGACCCAAGCCCACTTTTAGTAGGCTCATATTGGACTTGGCCTAGACTCATATTGGAATTGGTTTTAGCACATTTTAGACTTGGGCAAACAAGCTCACACCTATAGACTCACTCAGAACTTGGTACGAAGTTTTATATACTTCAATTACTGTCATGATCAGAGATAATAATAATTATTATTATAATAGGCTTTAGTAATAGTAATATAATTTATACCTATTTAACATATAAGCTGTTTCACACCATTCATTTGCTAGCCCACATTTTTTCTTATAATTTGTTTTTTACCAAGAAAGATTTATGATAAAATGAAGCCTACTTTATGAGTGATCTTGAAAAAATATTGGTTATATATGAGGTTTAGAAAGCAAGACATTCACATTTCAAGACAATTTATTAATATAATAAATACAATGCCCACTATCTTCCACTTCACCTTCAACTTCTTTTCTGAACCCATCAACTCCACCGCCTGCTTCAGCTAGAGAAGATCTATAAAAAATACAATTGCATTAGAATTATTTGGTTTATTAAAATTTATTATTAAAATCATTTTTCATTATTTTTATTTGTTATAATTATTTGATTATTTGAAATTTGTTGGTGTTGCAAACACAGGGTGTTAACTTACCTTTGTTTTTAAAATTGTTATCGAACTTTTATTTCTTACTATTTTACTTTTATAATGATTACAGCGTGTGATGGAACTTACACATCAATAAGGCTACTGAATACAAACAACGTAATAATGGTTTAGGTTAAACACAAATTTTGGCACTGTTCTGTTGAGTTCAGCAGTAGAGAGTATAGTATAGTGAGTGACGTCGATTCAGTGAAGCGCTGAGTATGTCAAAGGTTAAAGCACAAAAGATTTAGGCTATAAACAAAATTTTACGGGTTCTTGATGCTATGAAATTAATTGTTTGCTTAACTTAGCTTACTTATATCATCTCATAGACTAACCAACACAAGTATATTTTTTATCAATGGAGTTTAAATCTTACCTTTACAGGAATCCCTTAATTCTTCTTTGCTTCGTCTTGGTATCAAAACCATAAACAAAACTCACAACTAGTAACGAAACGAGTAACTCACAACACCAGAACTAGATAAGTGAGAACTGACAACTAACTGAGAGTGAGGAAGTCTAAATCCAACAAAAATGGTGGTTCAGCACAAAGAAACAGGTTTTAGGAGCGTTCTGGGTAGGGGTGGAGGGAAAATTCTTTTGTCATATGGCACTGCTCACTTTAGACTCACATGAACAAGCTTGTCGTGGGTCTGGTTAGGTGTTTAAATTGTGGACTTGGCCAACCAGGTTATATATGTAAATAAAACAAGTTTAGTTTTGGCGCATTCACACAAGTTCACTTAACCAAAGCTCTTTTAAATTTGTAGTGGGTTCCAAACTCCAAGTTTGTCATACCAATTCAGAAATATGTAAAGACCAAGTTTAGTCCAAGCTCACGTGCTGTCTGGGGTGGAGCCCGAAAGGATTTTTGGGGTAAGAATATATGGCTATATGTTAATCAGGAATGTGAGCTATCATCATACCAAATTTCAACCCAATCCGACCAGTAGTTAATGCGTGATTGAACTTCAAACAAACAAATAAACAAACAAACACACAAACTTTCACATTTATAATATTAGTATGATTCTCAATAACATTTAAGCCTAATCTATTAGGCAATGAAGTATATAGCCTTAAGCCTGAAGATGATACTTAAGCCTAATATGATTGATCTATGCAACAATCATATTAGGCAATCGCAATGAAGTAAAGAAAACAATATACCAACGAGTTATTGTATACCAACAAAATTAAGTTTGCAAACCAACAAGATCAGATGCTAAGAATAGTGTTATGTATGGCCATGGGGCTTCCAATTTTCAATTCTTTTGTTAATTTTTATTTTTTAAACATGAAAATGCCCAATTATTATTACAACCATAATAAAGGGCTTATTAAATAATTGGACGTTAAGTGTTGTATAAATGTTACAGAGATTAATAAAAAAAAAAATGTTCACTTAATAATTCTCTGTTATTTTTATGGAAAAAGTAACATTTTGTAGTTTATTTGTTTGAAATGTGTTTTTTATCAATTTTTTTTTTTTTTAATTTCATACTATACTATTGGCATTATACAAAAAAAACCCTTTTCCTTCCCTGTAGCAGCAAATCTAATTAATTGTTAAAACCTAATATGTGATTTAAATGGGGAATATATCTGACATTATTAAGGAAATATTTTTAGTTAAAAGGCAAATGAAAATTCACGGAGTTAGTGTTAGTCTGCAGGATTGCCGCAGCAGGATTTATTTTTTTAATTTTCCTATGCTAAATTTTATATTTACACCAAATTTTTCTTATCATTATTACCGTACAAAATCTCTATGATAAAATATTACTGTATGCATAAATACAACTATTTATAGTTTGAACCTTTCCCCGTGGAAAATACGAAAAGTGTTTTAAATAAAAATAAAAAAACTATAACACTAATGAAATCCACACTAATACACTTAGAAAAAATTTATTAGTGAAGAAATAATGCAGTATAGGCCTACTTTGAACACACCAAATCAGAAACAGGCTGTTCAGTTATATCATATGAATTCTCTGTTATCCACGTAATCATGTGAATTCTCTGTTAATCACGATCCTTTTCCTGTTTGACTTTTCCAAAACCACAAACCTTGGAACTGACCTCAGGCAAATTAACGGCTGCAAAATAAAACAAAAAGACTCTCTTGAGATGTTATTGCTCTTGAGCAAATACAGATTTTGGAGACCGGTTTGTTTAAACACAGATTTTTGGAGTTGAGGTGCTAATGGTGGTAAGGTTGCTTCTTAATCTGTGGCTATTACAAGAGTAAGACAGACAGACAGACAGAGACAGGCAAATACCTAGAGACTATGGACCCTGCAGCATCTCTGGGTGTCTTCCTCTTCTTATTTTCTTTTGTTGGAGGTAAGATACAATATTTTTATTTATTTCTCACATATTGAAATAATTAGGACTTTATCTATGACTGTAATGTATTAAAAAATTGAATTATAAAATGTTTTATAGCCTACTTTAATTATTGTGATTATCTAGTGTGACTAATTTTCTTGTGTATAAAAAATAAGATTTGTCATCAACTTGGGTTTAAAAAGAGTTTTTGTTTCATAATTAAAATATTCTCTGTAGCTCCTTTTCATTTTATTTTCTTAATTGTATTCATTATATTATTTGTGTTGTTAATTCATTTATCATATGATGAAAGTCAAATTATTATCTTATACACTATCAAACATCAAATATTGCTATAATCTAATTTACTAGATTATAGGTATCATACTTTTATGACAGTTTAAATGAATAAACATATTATTAAATTTGTTTTTGTATGAAAAATTAGAAGTGAATTGAGTACTGATTTTTAAGCGTTTTTAACTGAGCAGTTAAATATATTGAACTCAATATTAAATATATTGATTGGCTTTAAAAATTTTGAAGGTATTTTTCCTTTTTTTTCCTTTTGTTGTGGTAAGACACACTGTTATTTTCCTATTCATTTCTCATCATTACGGGATGAAAATAATTTGTATTACAAACAATTTTAAACAGGACAAAATTAGACCTTTTCAGTGTTTAACTATAAAAATCCAAATATGTACAAAAATAAATATACTCCCCCTACTACAGCAAACCTGCTGACTAAGGGAATTACCATTTTCTAACCAATTTCCACTGAAATATTCCCTTAAACATGTTAGATGTATTTTCAATTATAAAAACATTATAGGTCTAATGAAGATTTAGGTTTGCTGCTACAAGGAATGTCATGAAGTGGTTTTTGTTCAATTATTAATAGCTTGGTATAAAATAAATAAATTTACCAAATTTTTTTCAAAAATATATAAACGACTTAACAAGTAAACTACATCAGTACGTCAGTTCATAAGATTGAGAAATAATTTAAATTTATATTTATTTAAAGAATTTGTTTTCTAACCATGTTATACACACAATACTTAAATGTACTAAATTAATTGCTTTTCTTTAGCTCTACAAAAGGTTTTGGAAATAAACTGCAAAATATTAAATTTGGAGGGTCAAAAATGAGAAAAAACCATTATACTGACTTCAAAAACTGATCAAGCTGATTCACGAACTCGTTCAAATAATCATAGGTTTACACTTTTGTAATGAATTTAATCAAAATCAGATCATTTTTACTCGAGTTATTGTTGTAACGTAGGCTGCACATGTATATCTAGGATGGTGAATTTGACTTCTGTGGTCATCAAAACAAAAAGTAAAGTATTCCAAAGTTGAGGTCTTACAATGAGACCTACGGTAATAGCTTATTTTCTATGGCAAATAAACTTAAATGAGTTCATCTTTAGATTCTACATTAGATCTTTTAACAATTAATTAGTAGAAAAATATTTTCACAGTTATTTTTTTTTTCACCTTTTTAAGATGTTTAGTAAAATAAAACCAATTCTTTTACTGAAATACACTACATTATACACCTGTTACAGCAAACCTGCAGACTAAGCGGGTTTCTAGTTGTTTTTATGCAAACAAGTTTAAGATAGAGACACCATAGAAGTAACTTTTTGACATTCTTATTTGTTTAGTAAAAACAAAATAAAATAATCGGTATCAGCAATCTGACACAAACTTTCTCCCATTAGCTTGTCAACAACCTTTATGGGTAAGCGTTTTTTTTGGGGGGCACAATTCATGCACAACAAATGTTCCTGGACCTTAATTTTCCTACTAAAACTAGGCAAAGTATTTACTTTCCTTTAGTATCGGTTTTAAACAACTATAATTATAATTAATTTCATTGTGTGGTGCTCAACTCAGTTTTTTTTTACAAATTAATGAAATATTTTTTCTGAGGATGAAAAAATTTTCTATTAGATGCCACATAAAACAGTTTTTTTTTTTACAATTTTTAAATTGTAATAGTATAAATAGCTTGTGTCACTAAAAAAACCCCATTGTGAAGATTATTTAATTAATTAAGTTTAAAATTGTTAATCTTGCTGACTAATCAAAAATTGTGTGAAGAAAAAATATTAAACAAATTAATAATTACTTTCTGAATGAAGACCATTTTTCTTATGTCTAAATTCAAATCATCTTTGAACAAATGAAAAACCATTCTTTTGGAAAGTGTATATGCACGTTGGTTTGATACCTGGAATATGTGGAAATAGAGAATGTTCAGCTATGTTCTCTCATATTTTTTACATTAGTAGATTTACTAATACAATATTATAATGTGGTTAAATAATTTGCGAAACAAATTTATGTAATGTAATGATAAGGAATAAATAAATATATCGTGGTCTACGCATCGATCCTGGAGGCAAACAAAATGGTTTTAAGGCATCAAATGGTATCTTCAATCAAAAGATAATCACCATGTGGTTGCAGTCTTCAGAAGTCCCTGGTGGTGTGTTTAATAGTACCGGTAATTGTATGTTAGCTTACTTCCTGAAACTACTATCCTGCAAATTCCCTATAGTAGTTTGTCAACTACTAGAACAGAAACTTCCTAGTTCTTAACTAGAATAACTACACAGCCTGTAATACCCAAACAAACCGAACACGATCAAGTAACTTTCCTAGAAATGTGATTGGTCTTGTAATTTTTACCAACAATTATTTTTGAACTACACAGAGTAAAAATCTGTAATCAAACCAATGACTGGTTTTCATTCAAAGCTATTAATTTTGGTATGATGTGCAAAGCACAATGTTAAACACAATTTAATTGAATTAAAACAACTAAGCCCTCAATGAATGCACAGCAAAATTTCTGAGAATGTGATGAACAAATGTACCTGTAATGGCATTGATGATTGTTCTGCAAGTATAATTAATTTCGCTTAGTGCAGGTGTTGTAATCATAGTACAACTTGAGTACCTAATACAAATAGTGAACTATTAAATGACAAACAAATTATTTTCAATGACTTGTACATTATCACTACTATTATATATCACTTAGGTCTAAAGTTGTTTTTTCTTAAAAGGCTGGTAACAACCTCAAAAGATTAAACAAATTATTGTAACAATCAAAATAATTTAGTGTTCTGTAGGCCTATGGATAACTAACTCGTAATTTGTACAGTTTAAACAGTTTTCAAATACACATAGTTGTTTGGCGTAGTTATATAATAGGCTGGGGGAACACAGGAGGTGAGGTTGTTTTGAGGGAGATACTAGCATTGCATTGATGCCAAATAATAATACAAATAAGGATGATTGTAAGATTTACGCAATATATTAAAATAAATCAATAGTAGATCCATACCGTAAAGATTGAATTAATCTACCTTAATTAGGATAAATATTTCAATAAAAGTAGCATGTTGAAAAATTGAACACTCATTTTCATAAACTAATTTGTCCCTTTTATTCATTTCATTTCATTTATTCATATCAACGGATACACCATTTACAAAATATATGTGTTTTAAGCACATGAGCAGAATGAAAAGATAACAACAAAAATAACAAGATAAGTTACATAATGACCATGAAACAAAGCAGCATTGCAACAAAAAATAATAACAAGACAACAACGTAACATCAATTACAGATAATTGTTTTACAGTCTGACTAAGATTAAAAATTAAACTAAAGACAATCGTAGGTAATTAAATACAACTAGTTTACGTGTTGCTTGAATTCGAGCAAATGCGAAGTATTTAGTACAGGTGTTATTATAAAACAAATAAGGGTCATAACTTCCAATGACTTTAAAAGAGTCGACTCAAAGATTATGGACGTACACACGATGTACATAACAGTTTTATATAATCAACATTTCTTTTTAATATCTTATATCATTTTTCAAAAGCTGATCTTGTTTCTTAGTGTTTTCTACAAAGTTTCCCACTCATAGCCGCATTAGGTTATCCATAATAACGATTATAAATTAAAAAAAAATTAGGTATTTCTATTTCTTCTACTTAGTGGTGTTCTATGACCTTCCTATGTTTCCATAGTTTACAAATCGTCTCTTTCAATGATTGCTCAAGAAATGCAGCACAGTGTTAATTCAGTTTTCTTTTTAGTATATCAAATTGTCCAGGCTTTCTCGTTTTTTTCCATTGTAATATTTACGCCAACCCAAATTGAAATAATAAATATTTCATTTCAACCGTAAGTGTTTGTAGCAAACTGTTAAATTAGCAAACTTATTGACTGTTTACAATTATCATATGTACTTCTTCTCACTTTTAATTTCTGACAACAGCTGTAGTTTCATAACAATTTTTGTTTCCCATGCTATTCTTATGGATAAATACGAAAATTGTAAGGGCCCCAGGGCCTCACTCTCTTATTATTTACCTAAAAAGAAAGTTTCCTGCACAACTTCACATCATGTTTTCTCCAATGACACCAAAAACATGTCAATCGGTTTAGTAGTTTCGGAGGAGTAATTGTCACAAATTGTGTTTAATTGTAGCACACGTTTCCTCAAATTGCAACTAAAATATTAACAGCAATTAAATTATCCAGCTGATCATAATGTTATTAGTTATTTGTGTAACTAGTGGTGAAAGTGGCACTTTGCTGCACACGAGAGCAATGTTTACGCACGAGCCGCAGGTGAGTGCGGAATGATCTCGAGTGCAGCAAAGGCCTTTTTCACTCGTGTTACACATTATATTTTTCATCACTCCGTAACGAAAGTAACTATTTTCGATAACAGCTAACATCAATGAAAGTAGCCGTTTCCCAAGCTCTAATTTAGGGCGAGGAAAAATCGATCAGCTGATTTTCCCTCGCTCTAAATTTACTTTCGTCGCTCTCAATTAGTTCTCCATTTATTCACTACGCGCGCTAGTGTTAGAAATATACAAAGGTTTCCTTTCAGAAGATTTTATTTTGATGTTTAAAATAAATAATTTAGAAATAAACTAGTTGTAATATTACTGAGGTCTGTTATTCTGTGTTTGTGTATTTTTGCGTCGTGATGAAAAGTATCGTTCATAACTCGTACCGAAAGTTATTTTCCGGCTCTTGCTCCATTATTCCCGTCCTCGGCTTCGCCTCGTACGTGAAAATAGCTCTCACATACTCGGCTTCGCCTCGCATGTGAAATTGGATTTTCCTGTGTTCGGCTTCGCCTCACACAAAAACTTGAGCGCGCTCCGGAAAATGCCACTTTCGGTCCTAGTAATGAAATATACTATTTCCTACAGTCACTATAAAGCATATAAATAATTAGTCTTTCAAACATTATACGACACGTTTTTAGGTTCAGCTGGCAACACAAATGGTGCCTTAGAGAAAGTAGTACCCGCGGTCCGTATCACTCCGCTATTTTTCCTCGGCAAGAAATGTGCTCCGCGTTTTGAGAATATAGTTCCGTATGTTTTTGTAATTTGAAGTGGTTTCCGCGCCTAAAAAAAATGCTTTAAAGGTATTTTCTTGTTTATTAAGATCGTAGGAATGTTTTAAAAACGTTTAAAAGAAAAGTCCAGAAAGTTCAGAAATACCGAAACTATAAACACGAAATGACAGGTTAAATCGTAGTTATAATAGTCAATCAGCTGCTCATAGTATTATTATCTTTAAGTGTTGCCAACCTATTTCCAAGCGTACACGGATTACGTGCATAATAGAACCACGCTGTTTTGTGTTGTTTCGTTGGAATCCTGATGTGCGGCAAAGTATAAACCGTACGGCAAAATATAAACCGTACGGCAAAGTATAAATATGCAGCAATTAGCAGCTTTCTGTACTATAAACAGTACAAGGAAGCCAACTTTGTCGGGTGACTGTAGGAAAAAATATGTTCTTCATAAGGATAACATGGGAACTTTAAAAGCCACTGGGGCAGAGCCCAAGGGACTTTTTCAAAAATGTAAGGTCAGTTTACAAATCTACACACCTAGACAAACATTTTGGTATATAACATGTGGGGTTAAATCTTCAAACAAAAATAGCCTCATCTGTTTACAAAGTTTCATGTAGCGTATTAATATATAGATTCATTTTTTAATCTGTTCGTTATCAAGGAAATTGCTGGTCAGCATCACTGAAATTTCGTCTAGAAATAAACCAATGGCTTGAGGGGGGGGGGGTTACTCACCCAAATCTATGAAAAATAAAAAAAAATATCTAACATATGCTTCCTCTGCAGGCCAGTATGACACTCTTGAGCGTAGAGCGGACAAGACTGTTCCTCCGAGACTTCAGCAGCTACGAGACCACTTGGTGGACCGAGGAATGTACCAAGAGGGAATGTTCCATCTGCTGTCTTACGTAGTACCAACCGACTCAGACAACCCTAGGTGTAGCAACCACAGCGCGCTCTACCAGGTGGCAGTACTGAGTGATCAGCCGTGGGCTCAGCGGAGTGAGTTGTATCATTGACTCTGTATAGGGACATATTCCATTCCACGTTCACCAGTACAGGTTTTATGGGAGATAGTCGTACATTCAACATTACTGGAAACATCATGTTTATTGTTGTTTGGGTTGCGTCAAATGTTCTTGCAGCCCTCATAAAAGCTTTTAAGTTCACTTTATTTTATTTTTGTGACATTATGCCTTTTATGCTAGGGTTATTCATAAATAAGAAATGTTAAAAAAATAAAGTTTGTAGAAAAAAAATTACTACACCAACTCGAAAACTTCTGGACACAGAGGTTGTCGATTTTAGGGGTTATCGAGTTATCCAGAACATCTATTATATTATTAAAGTATTAAAGCGATACAATCAAATTTTATGTAAACGGTTAAGGCCATTTACCAAATAAAAATATAGGCATATGGCATATCAAAATGAAGCTCAGAGTGTGTAGATTTGCCGAAAAGTATTGATATGGACAAACTCCCTAAGGGCTCTACCCCACAGGCTGATTTCCAAAGGGCTAGGTCTTGCATGTTTTGGAAGTTAACGTTATTCGATTAATTTAGTGAACAACAGCTGGCCAATGCAATTGACAATATAGTTTGTTTACATTTTTGTTTACTTATTTTATTATTTACTTTTATGTTCTTAAAAGAGGTGCGGTGAATGGAAAGTGAAGCTGTTTGATACAAGTGAGTGATTAAAGGTGTTTAAAACACGATGAATATGTTGTTCGTTCCAAGAGGTTGTCACCGATCTTTAACAGGTTGCCATCATTGAAAAGTATTAAAGTATTAAAGACGTCATGGAAGAGAGCGGCGAGTTCAGGTACAACTGTACCCACCTCAGCCACCTCAGGACGTAAGGTATGAAGGTTCCACTGCTTTAAACATCCTTTAAGATGACAATTTCTTGAGCTTGGGACCTTTAAAAATGAAATATAAAGTCAAATTTGATTAAATTAAATGGTGGCTTCTGTACACCCGTGAATTTGCGGGTAGAACCTCTTGTTGACATTTATAATGGAGGTATTAAATAAATTAATAGGTAGTGAAAAAATTATAAGAAAAGTGAAATATTCAACAATTACAACTTAAAAAGTTAAGCACAATAGTAAGGCAAAACCAGCTAGACCCTGTCAGCAGTTGACTGTCGAGTTACAAGGACTGTCGATCCTGTCTATCTACTAATGACAGAATAGGTGTGTATATACACAGTCAGAGATTGTATAGACCATCAATATTTTATAATTTATCCCGCTATTGGTAAACCTTGATGGATTTGTTTAGTGTAGACTTTGGTCAAGATTTGACAAAAGTAGTTGTACTTTTTAAAAGAAGATGTTAGTGAATTTCCCTATAGGGAAGTAGCTATTACCGTAAGTGGCAAGGCAAGACCTAGGTTCGGGACCGATGTACTTTTTCATTTTGATGTCCCCACCCCAGAGGCCAAAAACACCATTTGTTCAAATTTTTATATATGTTCTTTGTTTGAAGTTCATTGTTGGTGATGGTGAGTTAATGTTGTTCAAAGGTTTTTTGCGGACATTTTCCATCACGATTGTAAAAAACAATACACAACTCACCATACTTCCTACACACACACAGTACTGTTGGGTAGTACAGATTCCAGATCCCGAAACGTTGTGTATTATTTTTTACAATCCTGATGGAAAATGTCCGCAATAAACCTTTGTATATATGTGTTTGTGAATTGCGATAACTTGAGTAATTATTTGTTCGATTTTGATGAAATTTGGTTTAAAGATGTAAGGCAAGATAAACTTGAATGAGTTTGCGAACCAGCATGATCGGACCATGGGAACGAGGTTTTATGGAGTAAAAATTGGGTTTTCTCATTTTTGACCCTCAAAACACAAAATATCCCAATTTATTTCTAAATATTTTTAAAGAGCTTAAAAAACAAATAATTTTGTATATAAAAGTGTTTTTGTACGGTTATTTGTAACAAAAAAAAAATTAAAAATTGGAAATTTAAAATTCTCCTAATAGAGAGTTATATATGCGTCTGTGAACGTGATAACTCGAGTAATTTTTGTCCGATTTTGATAAAATTTGGTTTAAAGGTGGAAAGCGGGATAAACTTAAATGAATTCGCGAACTAGCATGATCGGACCATGGGAACGGGGTTTAACAGGGGGTTTTATATGGGGTAAAAATTGGTTTATGTCATTTTTGGCCTGCAAAACATAAAATTTGCCAATTTTTCTCTAGACCTTTTTAGATAGCTTAAAAATCAAATAATTTAGTATATCAAAGTGTTTTTGTACAGTTATTGATGACGAAGAAAATTTAAAAATTGTAAATTTAAAACTCCCATGTTATTCTTATGGAGAATATTGTAAAATGTTGTAATTTGCTTGTTTATGGATATATTTTGATCAAACTTAGCAAATTTATTTATTTTATATTAAGCTATTAATATTTTACCAAAACCCACACTTTATTAGTTTTCTGGTAGCAGCAAACCTAGGTGCTCGTTAAACCTAATGTTATTTAAATAGATTTAATTGAAAATCAATTCAGAGAAATTAAAATTCACTTAGTCGGCAGGTTTGCTGTGGTAGGGGCATTTTTTTATTGGAGGGGTGAAATAATAAGTTTAATGTTCTGTAACTGTTCTGCTACCTTAAACTCCTACCTATTAACTACCTTAAACTCTTCTCTGTGGAGAGTAAGTGGACCGATTCCTTCTTCTACAATAATTTCTTTTTATTTTGAGTTCAATTACATTTCTTAACCTCAAATACCTTATTATTATCACTGGTTCCTCACTCTTGCTGTCTTTCTGAGGTCATCTACCTGTTGGATTTCTTCTTTGTATTTATTTGCTAGATTTTCCTTTGTGAATTCCAATTACCTGGTTGGTAGTCATTTGTAATCATCTACGTCAGCAATTACGTTAAAGTTTTTAACAGTTATCTCATCATTTCCTAGTTATTGTAGCCTTAGCCTTCCCCACCTTCATCATTTTCCAGTATTGCATTGTCTTATGTTCCTATTCTAAAGAACTGTCAGCTGATTGTTATCATAGAGGATAAAAATGTTGAATAGAACTTTTTGTTTATACTGTAATAGCATTTTCTCATTTTAATGCACTGAGCTATGATAAATATTTTAGAGATAGCACTTCTTGAGGGGATTTTGTGCCGCTGGCAGCTATTTAGTTATGTCCTGAGATGGAATGTGCCGAGGTGCAAAATAGTGAAACTCAACCATAAAAAACATGTTTTTCATCATATTGGTAAATGCATGTGTTCACCTTATGAACAAACCATTGGTTTTTTCTTGATGTTAAACAAAAAAGGACTTCATCTTATTTAATTAGTTTGTAGCTGTTGGTAAAACTGAATGAGGTGTAACACTCTCTGGACCAGGATACTATAGCAACTTTTCAAACTAATGGTACCTTAAAGAAGCCAAACTCTAAACTAGTGTTACTTCCACATATAATATCTAGTTCCAATGATGTTATGTTTGATAAAATGGTGGCAGTATAAATTGTGAGGGGAGGAATTCTTTTTCTACTTTTTGTCTCCAATCATGGTGGTGCTTTAAACATAATTTTAATTATGTTTAATTATGTCAAATCAAACCAGTTGGTTTGATTTGACTGTGATTCCAAATTCAAGTATCTATTCAAAAATAAAGGAAAATTAATTACTAGGTTTAAATAGAAAAAACCCTAGGGTGTGGACCGTTCCCTTACAAAACACACACACACACCAAATAATAAATCAGTAAATTAACTTGAAATGTTATATTGTTTGTTCATAGTGGTTGATGCATCCAGCAAAATCGGTGACGGATTCCTCCAAGGCAACATCCAAGGGCTGGGTAGTTACGATGAGTGTCTGGGTGTCAGCGAACCCAACCAGCTGTTTACTGGTCAGCTGTGCATCGTGCAGACTAAGGGGATGCTGCCCTCCGTGGTGCACAACCCCCCAACTGCCGAGGTGAGTGAATAAAGTTTAAAGTTCGGCTGGTCTCAAAAAGATGTTATTCACCAGTGAATAGACTTTCCCACATAATGATAACAAATTAAACAAATAAATAAATATGTAACTGCCTCAATTATTCAGTTGCGTTTGGCTGACAGAGTTAAGTGAATCCCAGTATCATTATTTATGATTTGTCAGCTTCACAGATAATCTTTCATGCATTCATCTTTTAAAAATGTATTTAGTTTGTAAACATGTTAGCATTATGTATTGTAACAAAAAGTTTTAAAATGCTGTTTTTCATCACGAGAATAATAATCTTGCATGTATAGCTTTTCTGCAGTTAGTTTGCTATTTGATGTTTTCCATGATGGGAGGTAAACAAAATCAGAAACAGAAACACCTGTTCATTCAATGGAAATACACTAAAAATTTAAGAGGGCCCAGAGAAGGGGATTTGGTATAATATTTCATTGTTTCAACATATTAATAAACGTATTGTTAATATAATAATTGGCAATTGGCAAAATAGGTATTTATCACTAGGTGAAACCCGTCGAAATCGACGGTTACTTTCAAGGCTTACGCTAATTCATCTAACTAAGTGTAAAACAATAATGGTATTAATTGCGTTAGTTGCCAAATATGGTTGATCATTCAATGAATAAAATATTTCCATACCATACGTCATCGGAGTTATTATTAGTATGTTAACTGGTATCTCTTCTTTTGGAAGAACCTTTAGATAGTATTAAAATCGTAGTTAAAAACTTCCGCGATTTCATCAGTTTAATAAAGATTAATCTATGATTTTATTTGAGAAAGAATATCTGTTTGTTGAGAAGACACGTTCTAACTTCAAAGGGAGGTCCACCCGTTACAGTGTAAGTTTGATTTTTCCTTTGTCACGTCGCGTCAGTTCATATCGTACTTCTGTGCCAATGAATAACCCCCTAGCATAGTTTTGAGAAATCATTTGTGGGGTTACTGTTATAGCCAATAAGACACTTCTGCACTTGTATTATTTTGTATTGTATTACACAATCGAAAATTTTTCCAATTATTGAAAAAAAAAATGTATGACAATAATCTCAAGATGATCTGTTTAGAATAATATGATAAAATACAGCCAAAAGTGGTGAAAAAGGCAGACACCAATCGTACAATAGATATAAGATAGTTCGATAAGAAATAATATTGTAAGACTGTGATAAAAGGATTTTCCACTAATTTTGTAATGAAATGTTATATTGCAAAACATGACATGATACAGAAGGAAATCAATTTTAAAATCATAAAATAACTCATTGCAAATACTTCTTTGGACAATTCAGTAACTCCCAATAAATGTGTGTTGTTTAAAATACAGTTCAAAAATTAAAAACAGCTGTTTCATTAAAAAGTGTTATCCACATGCCCAAAATGTAAACAAATCTGTGGAGGGATCTTTAACACGTTCACTGCTAATGACGCACTTGTGCGTCATAAGTATATTAGCAGATATATAATACATGATGTATATAATTACATAATATATTTTAATCCACAATTTATAGTATAAAATTTATTTAACTAAAGATATATTGTCACTCAATTAACATGATCATGTTAATGTTTATGTTTTTTAGCCATTTATAAAAGTATTACATATCATTAGCAGTGAATGTGTTAAAGGCTTCTGGGGCAGAGCCCTAAGGGAATTTACTTTGTTTTTCTTTTGATAACTCTTCTACAGATCAAGACATTTCTTTGGACACCTCTACCAAGTTTCTACGCCCAGCCATTCTCTCAAATTAGTGGAAACAAAGTTTCCAATTAAATATTTAGATTCCCCATGTTAATCTTATGGGAGAAAACCCAACTTTGATGGAAGATCCTGCCCAAACTATAATAAAGATTTCAAAAAACAAAAAAACACTTTGCAAAACTACAGATCAGGGCCATTTTTTTGACACTTTAGTCATTAAAATCGGTCCAAAAATGAGGGAGGAGTTCTGTTTACAAAAATCAGCTTAGCGTATTATATATATAGAAGATTGCCATTCCAGCCAAGACTTTAATCTTTATGCAGCTGGATTGGAGGAATGCAACTGTATTTAGACTGACAAACCAAATTCTTTTTAAACCACTTTGCTATAATCCGTTCAAAAATTTAGGCGGTTTGAGTGGAAGTCCTCATCATATTTCTTTGCTTAATTCAGCTGATTGACGTTATGGTAAACCTCAGCTATTGAGCGATTGGTTTAAATGTAGAATCAAGTGGAGGGTATGAATTTCTTATCCTAACCGCCTAAATTTTGTGAACAAAATATTAATTGCTTTGAATTCCTACAGTACTCGCTACTCAGAGCCCTGCCTATAGACTTGAATTTTGCGGTTTGTCTACCCTCCACCTGTACATATGCTGATGTTGCTGAACATTGGCGGGTTGTTGCTGTTGAAGTCAACGCCACCGCCACTGTCGAACCATTCGACTGCTCTGTCAAAGGCGACTTGAAGCCAGGAGCTCGCTTCTGGCAAGCCTTGTAAGTTTTCACTTTTGTGTTTTTTTTAAGGCTAACCTTTTTGGGTTTATATATACCCATATAGTCTCCTCTAACACAAGGCCACAACAAACAAGGCGATTGTTGTTTGGCAATGTCGCACCAGTATGCCTATTACCGTGTAATAACAAAAGTGTAAACATAAACATTGCCTATAATTAAGCTCCATTATAAATTAGTGCAACAGAGCTGTTTCGGTTTGCCGCGGAAGCGGTCTTGCCACTTTAGTCTCGCCGCCGCCTTGTATTAGGGGAGGATATGGCTTACCTTATCATTATTCTTTTTATGCTAAACAGCTGTTTTTATGGATTAAAATATTCTTAGAAATATAGTTCCAAGATCCACCTAGCAAATTATGTTTCAAAAAGTGATGAACAATAATAAAACACTATTTTATCAATTTCATAAATTTATTAGTTTTAAAAACACAAACCATACAAACATTTACAACAATCCAAACACTAATTTATTATTTTATTAAAATAGTTTTTTAATGTTAAAAATAGACATTTTTTCCACTGGAAGCCAGTAAAAATCAAAGAATCCTGTAAACATTTGTTTGCAGCACATGTTTTAAGCCGAGCTAACAACAAATTAATATTTTAAGCGTTTGTTGAAAACCAGTGTTGTCATCAGTGGTAGTAGGACAGAAAAGCGTGGGTATGGCGTTCCCATTCTGCTTCTTTCAAGAACTCCATGCACATTACCTACCTAATCCATTTATGTAAATTAAGTCAGTTTTAGACGGTGTTGAGCGTTCCCACATTGGAATACTACACAGGTCCACACTATTGTTTGTCAATTTTGTGTTTGGTATTTGTTTTTAAATTTAAAACTTTCTGTGTTTGATTTATTTTGTCTAATTACAGGTGTGTGATGGCAACACTGTTTGCATTAGTTTTCTTGAGCAGTTGGTATGACTGGGCGGTGAACTATCAGCCTGGTGAGTATTTTAGGAAACTCTGGGAAAATTCACACCAATATGAGCATGCAGGTTTAATAAGTGTAAAATATCTAAAATTTAAATTAGAGATTAATTAGTTTATTTGAAATTATTTTTGTGCTTTTTGATTATTTTTGAAATGATTATGACTAAAAAACTTATTAATTAGTACATTGGTGCTATGCTGCTAAACAGATTAACTAAAAGATGTTTTTGAACATTGATTAATATATTATTACTCCTATCCCTTTTGAATTTACTAGAGGGGTTGTTATTTTCACATTTGACCTGATGAATGGTGCAACTGGTTTAAAGCTATTATTGTAACATGTCTATATATTTACCATCTTCTAAATCATTAAAGTACCGTATAAGTGTAAATATTGATAGCCTTTTGTTGTTGTTGCCTATGTTCATGAGTAAGATCACAGAAAACGTACTACTATAACCCAGAATGCCAACCGCATGGCAGGGGCGGACTGGCCCGCCGGCCCACCGGCCGGTGGGCCGATACGCCTTCTCAAAATTCCAATATTTGCGCCCTCGTTAAAGGAAAAATTCATACAATTTTTTTTTAATGAGACGAGACGTATTTTTAGAAAGCAAGATGAAAAATTTAGAGTAAAAGTTTCAGCAGTGAATAGCAAAACATAAAGTCGGGTGTGAGACCGGAATAGACACTGTCGACAAGCGAGAGCAAAGCAGCTCTTCTCTCTCGTACGTGTAGGCCTACTCCGAGTGGAAGGCACTTACTTTACTCTGTGGTCTGAGCTACTTACAGCTGTCGTCTTCCCGCGTCATTTTACGCCGAACCCGAAAAAAACTGCACTGCGACTGCATCCGACATCGGTCGGTGGACGGTGTCACGATGTCATGTCGTCTGTGGTAAACAACTAGTGAAGATAATTTAATATTATTTCATATTTTATTTAATTATTGCTCACACTATAACTATTTCACTTTAAGTCACATTTAATTTTTATCAATGTCAACTCAACTCTCTTGTAAAATGGCGTTTGCCGTGCATGTAATAAATAAATAAAGAGTGTGAGCTGCCAATTAAAATGTGTCTCTCTTTAGTGAGTGTCTGATTTGCATCTCTGTGTTGAAAGCTTCAATTTATTTTTATATTCTTTACCTACACAGGAAACATGAACGAAAGTAGTATTGTAGAATAACTACTTTTACAAAATTTAAATTAGATTTAGTGACAGTGTATTTGTTAACTTAACCATTACACAGTAAAGGTTAAACAGTAAACAGTATTTTAATATGTGGCTACCGCCTATTAATTAATGATTTCAATATGCACTATGGCACTAATTTGGTCAACTTTCCTATTTTACTTACACATAGCCAGCCCAAAATACCTTCGTAGTTCTCTCGAGGCTATGGCTTCCATTTCGTTTGTAGAAATAGGTTAGGTAGGCCTACTTTAGGGTTACAGTTTTGACTTAATGTAATGCTAAAACAGTTTAAGTCAATAAATTGGTTTTGTTCACAGTGAAAGCATATTGTTTGTGTTAAAATAATTTCATAGAAATCTAAAATATATAACTTCTGTTATTTACAGTGCCAAAAAATACAGCAGTTGCAGGTTCAGGTTGTAAACAGGAAGCACATGATTTATATTGTATGCATGCAGCCAAGTCATGCAAGGGAAAATAGTGAAAATACACAAATATAATACGAAAGAACCTAAGAAAATCATTTGTATTTTTATTTTTGTTAGGATATTTACTGTCAGAATAGCGCCAAGTCGTGTGGGTAAATAGTCTAAATTTTGTAAACCAAACATTGACCAATAGTGTCAGTTATCAGATTTCTGATTTTCCACTATTAATGCCTCTAGATTGCCTAAAAATGCGAGTTTACAGGTATAATTTTTAACAAATTTCCCGGGGGTGGACCCCCGGACCCCCCTCTTTGCATGGGGGGTATTCCATACCCCCCAGACCCCCCGGTTGGCGCCTTCGGGAGGTCAAGGTTTACGCCCTAATAGAGTACCCAGTCCGCCCCTGCCGCATGGTAAAAAGCATTAAGCGGTTTGAGAGAGCTTTGCCTGTCAATCCGTAGGCAGCGCCACCAGCGTTGCTATGCTATTGCATGGCAACGCTGGTGGCGCTGCCTACAGATTGACAGGCAAAGCTCTCTCAAACCGCTTAATGCTTTTTACCATGCGGTTGGCATTCTGGGTATAGTAGTACGTTTTCTGTGGTAAGATGTTTGTGTGTCACCGTATGCATTACGCCAGCTTGTGTGGCATCTTGAGGGGGTCTTCTTAAGCTATGTCCTTGTCACTAACACTTGTCTTCTAATAATCAGCTGATCATAACCATGTTAGCCAAGAGCCGCAGAATGCTGGTCAGCTTCTCAATGTTCAACACCTGGCAGAAGCTATCCGGTCGTGACAGACAGGACAGTCTGGATATCCTGGATGGGTTGAGGGTCCTGGCAATATCCTGGATCATCCTAGGCCACAGGTTCGAGATGTCACTGCAGGTCCCTAACCTTAGTCTGCTGGATATGGAAAGGGTGGGTACACTTATTGTTAATAGTCTTTAGAATCTTGTTGAACTGCTACCAGAATGAAATGTTATCTCATTAGGAAATGAAAAGAGTGCCAAAAAAAGATAATTAATTATTTGTTTAAGGTTGAAAAATAATATTTTTGAGTTAAATAAAATAAATAAATAAATCATTATCATCACATAACGTTTAGATAATATAGCAATGCTATAAAACAGGTGAAATCGTCAAAATACAAATACCTTAAGACTAAGGAGTAAAGACTAAAATAAACTAAAACTATAAAAAATAAAAGTGGTTTAAACAAAATGTATCAGTTAAGAATTTTGTTAAAAACAAATTTAACTTTAAAAATCCTGATCAGGTTAAGAACTCATCTATACTGTAATAGGTTTTTCTTGAAAGAAAATTAGCAAGGCTGCTTTTGATTTGCTTGGATTGTATTTTGTTCTTTAATTCTTGAGACAGTTTATTGAATAGTTTTTTGCCCAGGTATGTCGGGTTTTTTTCTCCTAATGAAAGACGATGCCGTGGATATTGAAAGTCAGTATTAAACCTAGTACCATACCTATGTTCAACATTTGCACTACATCATTTTTCAAAATTTCCTTCTACCGTACCATCAAAAGTGTTTTAAAAATTGTTAACCTCGGAACAGTCATTACTCCCTAATTCTTTGAAAATTGGCTTACATTATGTTCTCCATGGTGCAAATGTCATTATTCTTTAACATGTTTTCTGAATCTTAAAAATTAAATCAATGTTTGATGCAAGTCCCATAATTCAATTCCATATTGAATAATTGAATAGAAGTATGCATAATATAACATCAAACAAGTTTTTAGGTGAATTGTGTTTCTTAAACATATATCATTTGATAACCAGCCAAGTTCAGTCTACTAATTAAATTTTCAATGCTTTTGTTACAATTCAAATTTGAATCTACGTACAAACCGAGAAATTTTGCATCATCGTGAACAGCTAAATTTTTGCCTGAGCAGTACAACACTTTACCAATTTATTTTCATCTTGATTCATTTTTAGATCATTAATGTTAAACCACTGTTCCAGTTCCTATAGGGATTGTTTAACTTTGAGCGATAATTCTGAATCATTTTTAAATTTGGCAACTGAAGTTGTATCGTCCCCATATAAAATAGTGTTCTTCCTCATCTCTGGATGTTTTATGTTCACAGTACTCGACTGCATGGTTCATGTCTCCTATCCTCAACATGATGTTGGGTGTGGAAGTGTTCTTCCTCATCTCTGGATGTTTTATGTTCACAGTACACGACTGCATGGTTCATGTCTCCTATCCTCAACATGATGTTGGGTGTGGAAGTGTTCTTCCTCATCTCTGGATGTTTTATGTTCACAGTACACGACTGCATGGTTCATGTCTCCTATCCTCAACATGATGTTGGGTGTGGAAGTGTTCTTCCTCATCTCAGGTTGTTTGCTCAGTTTCCACTACCTTCGCGCACAAGAGAAAGGTCAAGGATTCAATATCTTCTACTTCTACTATAAAAGATACGTTAGGTGAGAGTCTGATATTTTATCTGTACTGGCCAGGTATAACCAATATACAGTTTCAAAAAGCGTAGTACGTAGTAATAGCGTAACAGGGGTATCTCTTAGTGTTATTCTATGATAGCTGATGCAATAAAAGGATTTTTATTTAAAGGAAATTCGCCAAAACAGATAAACACAATCAGTGGACATCAATCAGCACAATCAAACATTAGCAATCAGGCATGAAACACACTTAAATCATGCTCTTTAGTTTTTACAATAAGATGAGAAATTTTCTTGCACTATTCACAGTCAATATAACCCTACAGTACATATTTTAGCTTGATAAGGACAAGTGAAAAAATAACTTATTTTTTATCTGTATTGTAATAGGTATCAAAAGTTTTAACTTATTTTTAATTTGTTATTTACAGGCTCACACCTGCTCTAGTATTTGTGATGATGATGGAGGGGTGTGTCTTACTCCATGTCTCTGACGGTCCTCTATGGAAGCGTCTGATCGGAAACAGGGCATTGTCTTGTGTGGAGAACTGGTGGTTGAATTTATTTTACATAAGCAACTACGTCAATCCATATCATACGGTGAGACAGTTAAGTTTAAAATATTTTCATTGCTTGGTTGTTTCCATAAATGTATATTAGGTATTTAAATTATTATTACCATTAACTTATAATTCATAATATACTGTAATGAGAACACAAAATGGAAGAAAAGTTCTTTAAAACTACTGCAGAAAAAAGATACACTACCAAAATTGATAAAAAAAAAAAAACTCATCTATAGCTATAACACGTTCGCTACTGCAATAGTACGAAATTTTCCATTCACATGGACCAGCGACGCACATATGCGACGGCCGGTTTCCACCCATAGACTACCGTCGCATATATGCGACGGCTAGTCACATTAAAATAGACTGCCGACGCATATTTGCGTCGGGGTTCTAATGTTATTAAAATGCTTATATCTTTGTAGTGGTCTATTTGAAGGCACTGAATTCCCTGCAGTGGTCTACAGAGATGTCTGACGCACAACTGCGTCGCTTGATCTGTGGATATGATGATTGGTGACGTCATATAATAGTTGGAAAAACTGGTCTTTACTTTTCTGCATCACTGTATGTATGAATGCAGTATGTATGCTGCATTATCCTATGTAGCTTTTATATTTGTTCAGTTATAAAGTGTTCTTGAATAATCTGTTTATTTTTTTACTTACTTTCACCTTAAAACGCAAAAAAATGAACTGTCGCATATATGCGACGTTTAGTCTATTTCAAGAAAACTATGATAATTTTCACTATTGTCTTCGCTGTAGACCGGGCGTCGCAAATATGCGACATTACTAAAGGTTATAAAAAAATACAAAAAAAACAAGAATAATTTATTTACAAACACGATTGTAGCGTATTACAATGTAAATGATCACTGTTTTACAGGTTTTCGCCCGTGGTCTGTGTGTACTGTTATCCAAGTGACAGCCGGTCTATGTGTAAGATTCAAATGTATACCTCGGTCTGTGGGAATGACCGCGGCGTCGCATATATGCGACGCTCAGTAGCGAACGTGATAACTTATAGTTTTAATTTAACCAATTGTAACACAGATAAAGATGATTTTAAAACACTAGCAGACACTATTCAAAACAAAATTGTTTAAACACTTTTCTTTCTCACTGATTATTACAACCAAATTATACAAAATCTATTATTTATTTATTTATTATTTATTACAACACAACCAATCAGTACAAATCTAATAAGATAATGGTAAATTTGAAAGTTTTGAAGCAAAGCTTAATGGTGGTCACTCATGCATGTAGAACAATAATTTTTTAAACTCCCTGGATCATCAATTGTTATTCAGAAATGAATCGGAGTTGATCTTAGCACAACAATATTATATTAGGCTACAAGGCTGGGAAGTAGATATTTACTGTACAATCATTATAGCTCCCGTTTGGGGTTTGCCGAACCCAGGATTTCAGCGAGTACCATACAATAACCTTCTTGAATGAGTGCCGTACTATACTTTTTGTCCTACTACCAGCAACAAATATAAAGGACAAGTAAAACACAACCCATCAATCAAAACCTTGTTAAATATACAGTTCAGTATTTAATACTTAACATTTCATTGAGCAGGGTTATTTTGAGTCTACCGAAGACACTCATATTATACCTTTTTGAAAAAGTGTAATTTGCTTGTGATGATGATCAGTAGATATACCCGCCGTACTCCAGCTGACTTTACTGGTCGCTTTCTATAAACATCTTAAATTTCTTCAAACATGACAGTAACTAGCTATTTACTTTGTAGCGTGGTGAAAAGTTTTTTGTATAAGTTTACTCTCAAAGTCAAATCATGTCTAATCATCTTTTTTCCAGTGCATGATCCAAAGTTGGTACTTATCAGCTGACATGCAGCTGTATCTTATCGCTCCACTATTGCTGATCCCCTTAGCGAGATCATTGGTTGGATCGGCTGATCGCTGGACCAACAAAGGCCTAGTGTTCATCTGTTTCTGCTATATTGCTACAACAGCTGCCAGTTTCGCCAATGCCTTCTACTTTAAACTTCCAGCAGGAGCAACTGTATCATTGTAAGAATTTTTACGTGTTTTTTTTTTAAGACATATGTCTGTGATTTACTTTACATTTTTTCCTATTATGTGTGTTTCAAAGGTTTGAGCTATCCAATGCGGAGAGAGTAATTTTTCCCAACAGAGGTGAATTTACAGTTTAAGAAAGGTTTCAAACCTCTGCAGTGAGTAACAGTATCATTACACAGATCATTGGTGATTGGCTGGATTTAAACTCAAATCTTGACCAGCAAAGAAATGTCTTTAGTATCAATCAATTATATAAGATATTTGTTTATTGAAATTTTTAACATTTTTTTAAACCCGTATAAGGATCTATGTATATAAAAATTACAGATCACAGAAAGAATAGCTTTTCTGCTACTATACTTGCAGAATTAGAAGGAATACCCACATATAGTTGAGTTGGGTTACAGTGCTTTCAATTCAATTCAATATTTCTTTATTCATTGAAGCACAAAGTACATGAATAGTGTCATTCTCTTAAATGTTTTTATATTACAATGTTATATTCTATGGATACAAAGTTCTTAAAATCTAACATAAGTTTATACAAATTACAAATTAACGCTCCTTCTAAAAATTTTAAAGTTCATCAAGGGAATACAATACCTTGTTGATGAGAAATGTTTTAAGACCCCTCTTAAATCCGACCATGCTTTTTGCCGATTTAATTTCATTTGGAATTTTGTTGTAAAATTTGGAGCCGGTATAACTTGGTTTTTTACTGTAAAGTTCTAATCTGTGGCGGTTTAGAGCAATGTTGGTTTTGTTTCTGGTATTGTAGTGGTGGTGTTCACCAGTTAACGCCAATTGAGAAAATCTGTTTTTAACATATAGAACTGTTTCATAGATGTACAATCCATATACTGTCATTATTTTTAATGATCTAAAATGCTCTTTTGAAGTTCTCGTGTCAAGGTCCAAAATAATTCTTATAGCTCGTTTTTGTAATTTTAGGATTGTTTCTAAGTTATTGATAGATGTAGCGCCATACAGAGATATTCCAAAAGAAATAACAGAATGTATGTACGAAAAGTATATTGATTTTAATGTTACTTGATCAAGAAGATTTTTTAATCTAGTTAATGCAAATAGACCAGATACAGTTTTTTTTATTAAAGGAAATACAGTATAATTATTAGAAAATTTTGTTTGGATACAGAGATAAGAAGACCGAGCAGAATCATGGTTCGGAATATGTTGTAACCCATGTCAGAGCTGCATCTTGGCTCACTGGCATGGCTTTGGGCTACGTTATTCATCTGATCAAGAAGAAACAGCTCAACATTAACTTGAGCAATAGGGTGAGTGCACCGGTGACTAACCGTTTAGTATAAACAGAAATATTAGGCGATTTGTTTTGTCTAATCTATCACAAACAGTCTTATAAGTCACTTTGGAGCCTGATTGGAATCTACCCTGTCTCGGGTTCAAAAAGAGTGTCAACCATTCTTTTTACACAAACAAAATTAAGTGTTCATCTTCAAGATTACTACTATAGCATCTCATACAAACAAGCGTCTTGTATTTCTGTAATTCACAGTAAACATGTTTAGGTACAATTCTGTAAAAATTTGTAGATGTCGAACCAAACCAACAATCATTAAAATCGGTTGTGGTTCTTATCTAGATTTGGAATTATTTTTTTTATCTTGGAAAGGATGTTTTCTGTTATTAAGTGCTTGAAACACAAAATCTCATCAGAAAACATGTAGATACACTATAACCAGAATTTGACCGCAGGTTAAAGGTTACGGCTATTTTCAACTCTCTGTTCGAACATAATAGTTTAAGTTTAATCATTAGGAACTACTGAGACAAAATTATGTTTTGAAAACGTAGGGTGAGGAGGGAAGTCTGTCAAGGTCAAGGGCAATATACAGTCCAAGCATAGACTAGAGAAACAAATTAAATAGACTTATTCCTATCGCCAAATTAGTCTTTGGTTTGAGTTCATTTCTTCACTTCTTGCTGCTGCCGCCGTTGCTCCGTCTGGCTGCCATGATTTTCTACGTCCATTATTTTATACTTAATCGGATACTTCGATGCTACCGATATATTATACCATACCTACGATACTAAACTCTTGAGAAGCCGCCAATGTATCAGCTGTGTATGTATACTGTATTACCAGTGTGTTGTTTAACCTTATAACAGATTTTCAAATATAGTACCAATCGAGCATAAGCTGACATAGCTAAAAATCCATGGTTAAGAAGCCTGGCTATGTTAAAATTCAAAAAATTAAGCCTACTCCAAAGGTTTTATCATCACTGCAATACTAAGTGATATGCCCACCTTTGCCTTTAGATATACAGTATGCCAATGCATGAAGAGTTTCATCTCACGTTTTGGTAACTATGTTCACCTGTGTTTCAGATGGCAGTGGCGCTCTGTTGGTCCGTTTCTCTATTTCTTTGTCTAGCTGCAGTCTTCAGCATAGTTCAGTTCCAGTCTCCCCAACACCAATATCACCGTGTGGTGGACAGTCTACACATTGCGCTTCATCGGAATGTATTCTCACTCGGGATAGCTGGAGTAGTACTACTCTGTGTATTGGGGAAAGGAGGTGAGTTAAATAGTTTAGTGTCATAGTAGGAACTAAAAATTCTGACTCTGCTGGTTATAGTAGGGAATTTCTGTCCTAAAGGCTTGGACAAAGCTGCAAATTTTTATTGGTTGTTTGTAGCCCATCTTTACTGTCACAAGACAGCAAACCAAACAATCCATCTATCATCCATCATCTAAACAAAAGAAGGAATACAATAAGGACTTTCTCGCCCGTGAGAGATTTAATGGAGACTTGATTGAATTACGCCCTACACTAAAAGCAAAAGAATAATTTTTATTTAATCATGATTCAAGGGACATTTGGTCAAAAAGTGTCAGGGATTAGTCAAATCATTCATCGCATGTTCCATGATTTTGTTCAAAATCTTGACAGACAAAAAGCGACATTGGACTATGTTTTCAGCTTTACATCTTAGTTATTCATAGTTAGTAGGTATGTATTTGCAGAGTATAACTGATTGATAACAAATTTTAATTGAACAATTTCATAAAAATGTTTTTACACCAACCATGTGATGTCAAATGTTTTTAGAACCACAGTATTTCTGGATTGCGTTGTAGGCCTGAGAGTTTTGCTCTAGAGAATGTGCTAAAAATTCAACAACAGGTCGTCCTATCAGTTTTACTTGATTCAAAGCCCAGAAATCAGTAATTTACATTAGCACAAACCGCCAATTGCTCAGTTAAACTACATTTATTTTGATTTAAAAACTGGCAACAACTTAACATGGATTGAATGTTTATTTTAATCAACAGTCAAAGGTATTATTTAAAAAACCTTAGCAAATGCAACACCAGCTTGTTATTAAGCAATAACAAAACTTCAATGCCAACATTCCACATAAAACTGAACTTGATTAATCCGAGAGTTTAAAACATGTTTACAGGTCCTGTTCAGAGTTTCCTGGGATGGCGAATATTTCGGCCACTGGCCACTCTGTCCTACGGCGTCTACCTGAGCCACATGGGTCTCCAGGCCTTAGGCCTTGCCAGGATAAGGCAGCCATTGGCCTTCGACATGTTCACACTGGTATGTGCATGTTTCAACGTGTTCACACTTTTCAGATCCTTTACATGACAAGTTATGCTACAGACTTGTTGAGTTTAGTTCTCTCAAGCCTGAATGTTTCTTCCATTTACATATTTGAAACAAACAAGCGTGAATTTTAAACATAAGTATACAAACATGAGTATATTATAATATTACTAGGTCCTAAAGTGACCCTTTCCAACTAGAGCTCAATTTTTACGGCCAAGGTAAGGCTAGATGTTAAGAGCCAAAAAGAATGTGAAGTGAAACATTTTGTCATCATTTGTGCCAAAATTATTTAACAAGACATAAATAATCTCATTATAAAATTCTATTTTTATTAGGTAGTTTGAATAACTTACCTATATGACTCATAGGTAAGTTATTCAAATTACCTAATAAAAATAGAGTTGTATAGTTGTTTAACTCAATACCAATGATACACGAATGCCTTTCAGGTTATCTGATATTAACTATTTTGTTACAGTGGACAGGCTTTTTGTCGGATGTTGTGATTGCCAATGTAGCAGCTTTTGTTATATTTTTTCTTGTCGAGTCTCCAGCCTGGGAGCTGGGACAGTGGCTTTATAAACCAGGTTGGTGATGTAATATTATCAATAAGTATAAAAATATCAAGCGATGGAGTTGAGATTAAATTGCAAAACTCAGTAATAAGTGAAACATGGTAAAGTATAATTGTGATATGATTGATGATAATTTTATGAGATAAAGTTCAGAATCGCTCAGATATCCCTTTCTCATACACTTACAGACCCTCATTTGACTTGCACCATGTGTGATCACTATGCAAAATTCCCATAAACTCGCCATGTATGAAATATGAATCTCCACCGACCTCCAAAACTGCCTGCATATACATACCATAAATTTGAATGTACAAACTCCAATAAACTTCATTTCACGATGTGCTGCACACCTATTAACTCGAATTGTAAGTATTTCACACAGAAAAGAGCTGCGTATACTGAGCTCGCAATCCATAAAATGGTAGCATCTGCAACTTTGTAGAAAAAAATTTAATAATATCCATGAGTATTTGGAAATTTTTATAAAATTTGTTAAGCTAATGTTTTGTTTTGCTACAATTAATTGTACCATCAAGGTCAATTAGTAATTCAAGAAAGAAAAAAATATCACTTTAGTATTCTACTGAAAAGCTAGTTAAATCATATTGTATTTTCAACTAACTTCTTTAGTTAAGTTAAAATAGCAGGATGGTTTAGGTCTTTAGGATTGCTGTTAGGGTTTCTTTGGTACCGGTACAAGGAGAGAATAAAACTACAAATTATTTTAGACTATTTTTGTTTCAGGTAAAGAAGAGAAAGTTCACAAAAATGTGCTTTGCAATGAATTTGTAAATACTGATCAAGAAAAAACTGCTCTTTAGTGCTGTGTCACATCTGTATACTTTTATAAATAAAACATAGTCAAAAAGTATTTATTTTCCTTTGTTACTTATTTGTATAAAGTAAACATGAAGGGGGACAATAAGGAGAGTTTTATTCCCACAATAAGGTACAGATGTTGCCTGTGGGATATTACCATAGATAAAACATACTCCCTTAGTAGATTTCTCATCCTTATGGAACAGCTGAAGACAATTTTATTGTTAGTTCATGTACGGTTTATGTAGAGGTCGTGTTTTGTTTACAATTTGTTTCCCGTTATTACAGCCATTTAAAACCTCGTTTAACCAAATAATACGATCTAATCATAAACAATAACTTGTCCCCTAGTTATATAACCAAACAGTAAAGCACAAATCAAGAAATTAACCCCAAAATAATGGAAACAAAGTTTCATCGACACTAGCGCCCATGTGTCACGTACATGAACTAGACACAAAAAATGTGCTTCAAAATTTACAATGGGATGAGAAGTCTACTTGTGTTGGTTAGTCTATGATATTACTAAGTTTATTTTCGATATATTTTTGTTACTGTATCTTGTATGTTTAACACCATTGGCAATTTTTGTTTTTGCAAGGGAACGGTCCAAACCCTCATCTGGTTACAATTTCTATTGTTGTCAGAAAGAATCATCAGTAGCTTCTGGGCCTATAATTGATCACTCTTTGGGATCAGCTCCATCATCAGCTCTGTAGGCAAGAACTTCAACCACTCGACTAGCAAGACTATTTAATTCCAGATTAATTAGCCATTGAGCTAATTAATTGTTGATTGATTTTATTATGTTTATTTGTTATTACCTTTTACCTTCATTCTTTGTCTGATTTGTGGTGCAACTCACATGAATTTGAATCCGTTTGGTAAGAGTACAAAATAAAAGCAAGTCAATTTAAGTTTTTTTAAAGATATATTTAAGGATAGTAAAATCTACAAGTTTCTAATCTGAATTAGATTGTAAAAAAAATATTTCAAATCTAGAAACCAAGTTTAGTGTATAGAATCATTGACTATTTTAGAATCTACTGTGACAAAATTAATAATTTATGTTAAGTACTTTGTTTAATTAATTCCAAAACTAATGACTGACTTTCAGTTGAACAATTCAATGTGATCAAGAAGAAGCATATTGTAATAATTCTTTTACTATGTCAATAATAATATTGCTAGATTTCCATCCCAAAAATATCTTAATGATTTTAAACACCCAGGAAAAAGGTTGGGAATTAGAAATCCCTATTCAGATTAAAATACATGTAAGTTACACAAAAATTGTTTTACCTTGACAAAAATATCTGTAAAGTATGTTTATAAACATAAATATGTTTATAAACATAAGCATTTTTACAGTTTTTAAATAATGTTTTCACCCTTTTTCTATATAAGTTTTTAACAAATAAGTTTGTATGTATTTAGAACAATTGTATCAAGTTAACTGTACAGTTCATAAAAACATTTTTTAAATTTTTATAAAATTCTCCACAGGTGAATTTAAACAACCATTGAATCTAACAGGTCCAAATCTCCAAACAACCAAATTAAATCAATAAACAACCATCAACTCTGGTTGCTATAGTAACACAGGTAACATCTACTAACTGCTACTATCAACATGTATCATAACCAAATTTAAGGTTATTTTCAGTTTATTGTTTGTTTATACTGTGTGACACAACCATGGAGAACAACACTTTCACGTTTATCCAACTAAACAAGGTATGTAAAACACTAGAAGATAAAGACATGAAGGACAGCTTGATGAAATGGTCCATGAAAGGGACACTTGGTGTGCAGTATTACTCTTTCAATCGACAATTTCAACTTCATCAAAAGCAGCAGTTTTTGGACTCATTCTTCACCGACCCTATGGTCTACGGGAGTCTCATTTACAACCAAGTTCCTCTAGGTAAGCCAGCATCCGTCACTTTTCAGTCCATCCCGTGTACAATCCTCTCTATGGATTTTTTCGACCGAATCCTAAACCCGAACAACAACATTGTCCGTTGTGACGGCAAAAGCATAACACAATGTTTGGAGGACGATGTGGAAGGATTTTCGATCGACGACAATTTAAGAAGTATGATTCTGAATCGTGATAGCAAGTTTTTCAATCTCTATAGCGATTCAGATCGCCGACAATTCTTGTGGAGGATTTTCACCCACTTTTGTCTTGGAGGAGAATACTGCCAACATGAGTTTGAGGTTCAGCCTTATTTAACAGCGGCAAAGTCGCTCTACAAAGAACTAGTGAGTGTGGAACGAATAGGAGACTCAAATGAACTTGTGATCCGTTCTGTCGTCATGAAAGTTCAAACTTTTGATGACCATGGGCGACCTCTTGTGCCTTACAAGGCAGATAATCTACAGAACTTTATGTACCTTGTTGTCGACCCTTTCAAACGGTCTGTGGCAGTGTTAAGTCATAGTTATGGTGGACACTTTTGTGTTTAAAAAACTGTTAAGTTGCATTTTAATCTAAAATATTGAGCTTAAAAAGAAGTAGTTCTTCTCCATTAATATGTGTAAGTCAAGTGTAAGAAGCTTATTAATTGACATACTATAACCTATGGTCTTTTACATTAGACTTCCTTGTTTCTGTATCAAATCAAATCATTTACTGACAAAGAAAAAATATACAAACCATAATTTCGGTCACAGCTCTGACTCGTCCTTCGTAGTGCATGATCTGGGTTTTGGCTTTTTGTTGCCATTGTCTTATGTATGCGTGCTCTGTTCTGACCATCTCAGAACAGTCAGAACACTACCATTACTCGTTGTCAATTTGGAGTGTAAAATTCTTAGTTGTCGTTATGTCAAGTTCGTTCATGTCCTGAGTGTGTTAACTGTTTGACGACATTGAGAGATTTATTTAAATAAGTTTTAATCCCTGATGGATATATGTTTATGGCTTAGCAAAAGTAAAAAACTGGGTGATCCACTACAAAGGACAATTCAGAGCTGTGTAGGAAAATGGCAGCCATTTTTGAAAAAGTTGAAATTTAAATTTTTTAATGTCATAAAAATAGTTAAGATTCACCGTTTAATATTTTCTCAAAATCTAATAGTTTCTGAGATACCAATTGTAGAACAGTTAAGTTGTTAACCCTGTATATAATATGGTAAAACCCTTTAAATAAACAAAAATAAATAATAATATAGCCTAGAATTCATAAGCCTGTGTTTAAAAGACGCTAATCCCGGGATTTCTAGATTAAGGTATCAAAAGACGACTGGCATCCTGGGATTGAAACCCCTACTCGTAAATGAATAAGTCTACTCAATCAAGGTTTTTTTATCTAAGAAAATAATGAAAACCCTAAATAAGAAAACCCTAAGGGTGCTGTCCGCCCTTATTTTTTTATTAAATGAATATTTTTCCAGTTATTCACAATGAAAACAGACGATTTCACTTGCCAATATGTAAAAACATTAACAACAAAAGTTGCTTAAAATTAGTCAGTTTATTGATTCCCGATCTTTTGAATGACAAATATTTTGAGAGGAAGGGTGCCTTCCTTCAGGGCAAAACAACCCCACGCAGAGGGTAGATTATGAAATAGGGAACAAAGAACCTAAAACATAATATTTATGAAAATCGGTGCTGTATGGGATAATAAACAGGAAAATGGTCTTTGACTTGAACAAAATATTTTTTATTGATAAACCTCAAGCGAAAGGATGCAGTACAAGGGAAATATTTTTTTTATACTAAGAGTTAGTCTTTGCTTTGACAATAATTCCCACAGCAATGTTTTGAAGGTGAAGAAAGCCTCCATATATGAACAGAATTGTGACTACTCCTTTATAATACCAAAACTCATTAACTTAACTATAACTTACATTAACTTGACTATACTATTAACAAAAGTGGATAAACCTCAAACAAAAAGGATGCAAAACAATGAAATTTTTTTTATAACATGAGTGTTAGTTTATTCTGGATGGTCACACAACTATCATGAAAAGACAACGGCTCTGTCAGCTACCTCCGACATGGATTTATTGTCTAATTACTTCCTTTGATTTGTTGGTTGCCGTTT